CTTGCTCTTTCTTGCTCTCTCTCTCTCTATCTATTTCCCTCTCTCTCCCTCCCTCTCTCTCTCTCCCTCTCTCTCTATTGCATTCCCTTGCTCTTTCTTTCTCTCAATCTCTCTCTCTCTTGCTCTCTCCCTTACACTCCCTTGCTCTTTCTTGCTCTCTCTCTCTCTATCTCTCTCTCTCTCCCTCTCTCTCTCTCACTCTCTCCCTCTCCCTTTCTCTCTCTCTCCCTCTCTCTCTTGCTCTCTAGATTTCTCTCACTTGCTCTCTCTCACTCTCTCCCTCTATCTCTCTCTCTCTCCGTCTCTCTCTCTCTCCCCCTCTCTCTTGCTCTCTCCCTCTCTCTTGCTCTCTCCCTTGCACTCCCTTGCTCTTTCTTGCTCTCTTTCTCTCTCTCACTCTCTACCTCTCTCCCTCTCTCTCTCTCTCACTCTCTACCTCTCCCACACTCTCTCCCTCTCTCTCTCTCTTTCCCGCCCTCTCTCTCTCTCCCTCTCTCTCTCTTGCTCTCTCTCTTGCACTCCCTTGCTCTATCTTGCTTTCTCTCTCTCGCTCTCTCCCTTGCTCTCTCTTGCTCTCTCTTGTTCTTTCTCTAGCTTGCTCTCACTTGCTTTCTCTCTCTTTCTCTCTCTCTCTTGCTCTCTCGCTCTCTCTCTCTCCCCCTCATTCTATCTCTCTCACTCTATCTCTTACTATCTCTCTTGCTCTCTCTCTATCTGTCTCTCTCTATATATATCTCTCTCCCTTTCTCTCTCTTGCTCTGTCCCTAACTCTCTCTAGCTTGCTCTCACTTGCTCTCTCTCTCTCTCACTCCCCCTTTCTCTCTCTCTCTTGCACTCCCTTGCTCTTTCTTGCTCTCTCACTCTCTCTCTCTCTCTCTCTCTCTCTCTCTCTCTATCTCTCTCGCTTGCTCTCCCTACCTCCCTCTCTCTCTGTCCCTCTCTCTCTCTTGCTTTCTCCCTTGCTCTTTCTTGTTCTCTCTCTCTCTCTCTCACTCTCTCTCTCCCTCTCTCTCTCACACACTCTCTCTCCCTCTTTCTCTCTCTCTTTCCCTCCCTCTCTCTCTCTCTCTCTCCCTTTATCTTTCTTGCTCTCTCTATTGCACTCCCTTGCTCTTTCTTGCTTTCTCTCTCTCTACCTCTCCCTCTCTCTCCCTCTCTCTCTCTTGCTCTTAAAAAAGCGTCATTTCCTCATGTTTCTTTCTCTCTCTAGGCGATTTGTTAGTGAGAGAAGCTCTGGGGATGGCGGCGGGCGACCGAAAGTCTCCCCCCACTCAAGCGGGGGTGGTGGTGACGGATCGATCGGTAGTGACGAGAGAAGGAGTTCTGGAGTGGGATCGGGAGGATCGAAGAAGAATGGGGATCGTTCGGGAGCTGGATCGGGAGGATCTCCGAGCAAATCTGCGACTGGGAAGTCTTAAGGCAAAGCGCGTGAAGCTGGTAAGATGGGATCGGAGGGATCATCGGAAGGCCGTTGGGAGGTCAAGCCGAAGAGCTTGGATCTGAAAACGGCAATGCCGATTGCTAAGGGCGGCGTCCAGACACGGAATGCTATGAAGAGGGAGGATCCTTCTTCTAGTTTGAAGATGGAGCTAATGCCGGCTGCAGAAGTGAGTATGAGGATTAACCCGACCTTTGTTGGGACGGAATCTTCAATGGAGGTGGAAGAACTGCAATCGGTGCAGGAGGAGAGCATAGATCTGGAAGAGATGTTCGATGTCTATGCGGCTATGCCGGGTCGGACGAATGTGATGAAGATTGGCGATGAACAGCCATTGGCGAATGCTGATCCGATGATTGGAGCTGACTGCGCGATGGAGGTTAGTTCTAATTTGAATGATCAGAACAATGTTGTTATGGATGATGCTGGGGGAAATTAGCTGGTGAAGGAATCAGCAGTGGTTGAAATGGTAGGGACGAATGAAACAGAGGTTGGTTCTGCTGGATTGAGTAATCAGCAAAATAGCCCTCTAGGTGATAGTGGGAATGCTGCTTCAATTAGGAGCTCGGAGATTGCGAAAGGAAAGGCTCAGATGCAAGTTGAGAATAGATTCCCGCTATTCTCTGGTGGCGTGAGTAATGCCTGGAGGAAGCCTGAGCACGTTTTGATCCAAAATCCAGAGGAGATAAATGCTTTGTCTAATGATGGGATCACTATTGATCTCAATATGGAGTATGTTATGGCAATTGTGGCCAAATTGGACAAGGCTGTTTTAGGGAAGATCCTGGGAAGAAGAGTTTCGTTTTTTCTACTGAAAAATGAAATCCAACGTCAATGGGGACGATTTGGGGAGTTTCAGCTTACAACGCTGGGACATGATTGCTTCGTTTGTGTTTTTGGATTGACTGAAGCCAGGAATGCCGTTTTATGTGGTGGTCCGTGGTTCATTGGAGGGAATATCATGGGGCTGGATCGTTGGACGCCGCATTTCTCTCCGGAGTCAATGGAAGAATTATCCTCCCCGGTATGGATTCGTCTTCCAAACCTTCCTCTTCAGTATTGGGACGATTGCAATATTGCCAGGATTGCGTCAAAGATCGGTGTACCGCTCTGGATCGATGCGCAGACGAGAAATTGGGGTAAAGAGAATATGCCCGGGTGTGCGTTCGAATGAGTTTGGACAGGAAACTGCAATATGGAATTTGGATTAATGGTATGAACGGGAGGTTCTACCAAAAAGTAGAATATGAAGGCATTGGGATATTGTGTTATGGATGTGGAAAGGTGGGGCATCAGAAGGAGTTCTGTCCATCTAGAGCTGTTGGACAAGGAGGGAATGAGGCCAGAAGAACAGAGGAACATTTGAAGCAGGGTGGCAAGGGAGATGGTAGTTCTGCCCAGAATTTGGGTAAGAATGGGAAGTTTGATCCCATACAAACTAAGAAAATGGTTTTACCTATTGTTAAAACAGAGGATGGTGGCAAAGGGAAAGCTATTGACAGCCGCGAGAAAGGAGGGAATGCTGAAGCACATGATGAATGTAATGGGAGCAAAGTTGGCATGGAGGAAGGATGACAGGATAATGAGGATCATAAAGGGTCCTTGGATTCAAGTTCCCCCACGGAGAAGAAGAACGACATGAGCTCAGGGCAAGAATAAGGAGAATGTGGGCAGCAAACAGAGTTTCAACATTCCAAAGCAAGTGGACTTGAATAAAGTCCAAGTGCCAGACAGTAAGTTGATGCCCACTCATAAGCAGAGCAGGATGGAGTTCAAGCAGAGGCTGCCATTCACGGCTGGTATAAGAATGGTTAACAGAGCCAATGCTCTGAAGGAGCTTAATCAATTGGGACCTATGGTGGAGGCGCCCAGGAAAAGGAAGAAGGAGATGTTGGGAGAGCATGACTGTGCAGACATAAGCGGCGGGGATGCTTCCCCTTTGTTGTTTAATGCCTGACATTCTAATTTGGAACTGCAGGGGTGCCCGGATGAAGCAGATTGGGTATTACCTGCGTAGCCTCATTGGCAATAATGAGGTGATGTTTGTTGGCTTAGTTGAAACTATGATAGAAGACATTTCCAGGTCAGATGTTGATAGACTCATTGGTCCCAATTGGGAGTTTTTCCATTATCCAGCTGAGGGAAGATCTGGTGGATTGTTGGTGATGTGGAGACGGGATACTACCCAATTTGAGGTTGTTTTGACTATGAACCAAGCTATTGTTGGCCATTTGGTGTTGCTCAATCTTCAGAAGTGGGGAATTGTGCTTGTATATGCCAGCAAGAGCTATCATAGCCGCAGGATGTTATGGAGTACCATTGGCGCTAGCCTTGATGCTGAGTTACCAATGATTGTTGGTGGAGATTTCAATTGTTACCTTGATCAAAGTGAGAAGAAGGGAGGTAGAAAGTATAGCTATTCGGTGGGTGCTCAGGAAATGGCAGACTTCCTTCTTGAAAATGATTTACATGACTTGGGATTTATGGGTCCTAAATTTACATGTACTAATAATAAAACTGGCAACAATAAGATATGGGTTAGACTAGACAGAGTTTTAATGAACTCTGAAGGCCTTAGACTTGCCCCATTGGCCACAGTTAAGCATTTGTTGAGAATTGCTTCTGATCATTGTCCATTGTTGCTGAATCTGATGTCTAATCCTCCAAAATCTGGGAGTAGATGGTATAGATTTGAAGATATTTGGATGTCTCATCCAGTTACTTGGAAGCTGGTATGGAAGGAATGGAACAAAACTGATTATGGGCAGCCAGCTGATGTGCTAAATCGTAAGTGTTCCAGAACACTTAGAGCTTTGTTTTTCTGGAGCAGAAACCGGTTAAAGGAGCTGGGGAATTTGAAAAATTCGTTGGAGGTAAGATTGGGAGAACTTCAAGAACTTGAATGCTCAAATGCTGGATTAAATGAAGCACAGGAGCAGGAAATGAGGAGAAAGGCTTTTAAATTGAATACCACATTAGCCCGCATTACAACTTGGTGGAGACAGAGAGCGAAGGCGAGATGGATTGAGGAGGGAGATGCCAATTCTCATTTCTTTCATTCCTTTGCCTCGGCACGTAGGAGGGGGAACAGAATTCTGGAGGTCCAGAAGCCGAATGGAGATAGGAGTGGTGATCCAGCTCTTATACAGGAGGAGTTCATAAAGTTTTTTATGCTCAAATGGGAAGAGAGGCAGATTGTGTGTGATAATTGGCTAAGCTTTCATAGTGAAGACAAGATTCCTGATCAGGTGAATGAGATTCTGGAGGCTGAAATCACGGAGCAGGAGGTTCAACAAGCTGTCTTCAGCATGGGGAACAATCGTGCACCGGGTATGGATGGTATTACATCTTCATTCCCAAAATTTTATTGGGAAATTGTTAAATGTGAGGTGACTCGTGCTAATATTCATTTCTTTTGCACTAACTCTATGTGTGAAAGTTGGAAGGATACTTTAGTGGTTCTTATACCCAAGGTTGTAAATGCATTTGTGCCGGCTAAGTTTCGACCAATTAGCCTTTGCCAATCCTTTTATAAGGTTGTGGCAAAGATTTTGATTAATAGGCTCAAACCAGTGCTGGGCAGCATTGTCAGTGAGGAGCAAGGGGCCTTTGTTCCAGGGAGGTCTATTTCCAACCATGGCCTTATTGCTCAGGAGTTGATGAACAAGTTCCAGTTCTCTGTGAAGAAATCCGGGATGATGGCTTTGAAGATAGATATGGAGCAGGCATATGATTGTATGTCTTGGGATACGCTGTAGAGAGTTATGAAATTGATGGGATTCTCTCAGAGGTTTGTGGAATGGATCATTCAATGTATTGCCAAGCCGAGATTCTCTTTGCTGATCAATGGTAATAGAACGCCATGGATCTATGCTGAAAGTGGTCTTCGACAAGGATGTCCCTTGTCGCCATATCTGTTCATTCTCTGTTCGGAGCTCCTCACCAAAGCCTTTAGATAGAGGGGGGAACAGCTTGGAGTTCAAGTTGTTAATAATGTGGAAAGGATATCTCATCTGTTATACGCAGATGATAACCTCATTTTTGCTGAAGCCAGCAGGAGGAATGCCAATTGTATCATTATTCTTTTGGGAGACTATTTTGACTGGACTGGACAGAAGATTAACGGTGGGAAATCAGCTGTTCTCTTCTGCAAGAGCTGTCCCAACTGGAAGAAGCGTATGATTGCCAAGCTAATGGGGTATAGAAAGGTGAATTCTATTGAATATCTAGGGCTGCCGTTGGTCTTGAGGAGACTGTAGACTGAGGATTTTGTTAAAACTATAAGAAATGCTCATCAGAAGACCAATATATGGGGGGAGAAGCATCTATCGTTTGCTGGAAGAGCTTTGCTAATTCGTACATCATTACTTAGTATTCCTATGTACTTGATGACTAATAATTCAGTTCCTAAGGGGATCCTCCAATCTATTGAGAAACTTGGCAGAATCTTTTTATGGCAGAAGGATTCTAATAGTAGGGGAATGCATTATGTTGAATGGAAGGAGTTATGCCAACCCATGGACCATGGGGGTCTTGGATTTCACGGGTTAGACAATTGGCAGGGAGCTCTGCGTGCTAGGCTGGAGTGGCAAGTGATTAGTACTCCAAATTTACTGCTGCATAAGGTTCTTAGAGGGAAATATGGTATGGAGCTTTGGAATGACACGCAGGTTTATGAAGCCTCTACTACTTGGAAGGTGATTCATGATGGTGCTAAGGCTCTTAGAACTATCATCAGGTGGAACATTGGGGATGGCCAAAGCATTGATGTGATGCAGGACTGCTGGATACTCGATCGGAGGATAGATGATTGGCCGACCTTTGTTAATGTTAATGAGCTGGAGAAGGTCAGGGTGAATTGGTTGCTTGATGAATCTGCTAGGTGGAATGAGGAGAGGGTGACAAATTGTTTTGGTAATGTAATGGCTGAGAGGATCATGTCTATTGCTACCAATGGGAATGAGGGAAATGATGCTCCTGAACTTATTCACTCTCGGATGAGCATGACTCTGACTGCAATGGCATATAAAGCTAAGATGGGAGAAGGTGAATACAGTTATTCATGGATGAGGAAATTGAAGTTACACCCACGGGAAGGCTTTTTTTGGTGGCGTCTTCTTAGGAATGCGATTCCTACTAATCAGTGGCTTTTTTATAGAGGATTATCAACCAACTCTCTCTGCCCGTGGGGATGTCAGGTTGATGAAAGCCTGGACCATTGTACAGCTCTCTGTAATAAGTTGAAAGAGGTGCTTAACATTTTGAGGAAATGGGGGTTTCCCATGCCTTCGGTTTATTCTTTGACAGAATTAATGCAGGAGATACATGTTAATGGGGAAATCAATCCAAGCCTAGGACGAATATATTGCTATACTATTTATCAGGTTTAGAGAGCTCGAAATGAGCTGAAACATAAAGGGAATTGTAGGCCCCTAACTATCATAGCTGCTACTATTCTTTCCCTTCTGCCTAAACCTTACTGCTCAATTATCTTGGAGCAATGGATTACTATCCAGCCTATAGGGCTGCCGTCTTAAAAACAATAGTGCTCCCCCCCTCCAGGATGGCTGAAATTTAATGTTGATGCTGCAGTGAAACCTTCTAATATGGCTGGAATTGGAATTGTGGTGAGGAACTTTGAGGGAGCATTGATCGTTGCTGCTGGTAAAACATTTGAGTATTGGGATGCTTTTCAAGCTGAGGTAAGTGCTGCAGCTGCTATCAGTAAGGTTCACATGGATTGGATGTTTGATTTAGATGGTATCATTATAGAAGGAGATTGAATCAATGCTATTAAGTGGTTGCAGAACATATATGATCACAGAAATAAGGT